AGTTATTGAACCTGATGATACCTCTTTCCCCTGTATCTCCTAATTTATGATGCCTTATAACATAAAGAACTTGTAATGTTTAACTGTTTACTGCTCAAAGTCCTTGTTATTAAATAGATTCTCCTTTTTTGTTACAACTCTTCCTGTCTTTATTGAGAACCTGTCATTCAAAGAAAACTTCAACTATTTTATATCAACTAGGATTCATAACACTCCCAGAAGTTCAGTGTTACAAACATTTTACAAGGAATCAGTTGGAGCACCATGAGACAAGACAATTTGCCACAAGATCATACAGCGAGCTGTCTCAGAGCTAAGAAAGAATCTAAGCCTCCTAATTTACCAGGTCTGGATTCAGGATCTTTCCAAGTCTCATTAGCTGCTACTGTTGGGCTTTTCACCCTCTTCTACACTGTAGGGCACGTCTGCTTCTTAGTATCACCTAGGAGATATAATTATCTTGTTTGCACAGCGGTCTAAGACATCACTGATGCTCTTGATCTCTTCTCCCTTCTTGTGACATATCACTTGGCTTTTGGTCTTCTACAACATATCTGAAGTTTGTTATAGAGTAGTAGGAAGTAGTACTTGCTAGGACTTTGCAGGCCCCCACAGACACTGTGTATGAAGTACAGGCATTTCCTAAATTTGGTATCTGCAGAATGGTTTCCCATGATTTCAGGGAACTCCAGTTCCAGTGGTTCCTTCCAGTTTTATGTTCCTATAAGCCTTACCTCTATAGTCCCTAGACAAAGCTCCTACTCTAAGATCCTAATTCATGTAGGCATTTTGTTAAGTCCATCCCCTCTCCCACCCTTAGTACATTCTCAACATTAAATATATTCTTAAGTCCCACTAGTTTCTATGTGATTTGAGTTTGCATCATAGGAAAAACATTTACTTGAGTCTGTCCTGAACTGGCTGGATATTTTGAACAGGAGCCAAAGCTCTTTTTATAAAATGAGTATCCTTTTTTACATTATGTATAGCTTTTTCCATCCTGTTCTGCCCATGAAATGAGCCAATGCAACTTGCAAAATGTACAATGAATTAATATAGGTAAGAAATGTAAGACTAAGATGTTACGCTCAGGAAGTATATGCTCTTCTTTCTCTCACGTGTTTTCACTACATTTTCACTGCATTTGAATTTCTTTCCAAATGATCAAACATTATCATCTACTCTGAGGCCATAATCTACTACAGTTCTAAGACTTTGGTTGATGTTGCCTGTTTACCTCACTTCGGTTGGTATGCCTTCTCCTCTGCTGTAAATAAGATGACTGTATCATCACTATTGTGAAAGACCCACTGAGCCATGATCACTACTGTTCCAAATCACATTCGCTTCTCCATCTTGTACTGAAATGCACACATTCAAATGCAGACTTTCAAGACACTCTATTTATGAAATGGTCTATAATCCAAACTCTTCTTAGGTTAATCCTTATTGACTTTTTCTTTTCAAGCCTCTTCTGTCATTTTTATAAGAAATTAACTGCATCTGTGTGGGGACAAGAGAGAACTTTCTAATCATCATTCAAAGCAGTGAAGCTGTGCAGTAGGAAACCTGTGTTCCCAAATGATTTAACATTTTACTTTCTTCTTTGCCCTTCTTAATTCATTTCTATTACCCTCTTCTTTCCTTTTGAGTCTATGTTTATCATACTTTCATTTTCATATTCTGTTTTAAATTAAATAGCAAAGTCTTTGTACAAGGGTTTTCTATGAATTTTTGCAACTCAGCTCATGGATCCAGTTACTGCTACAGTCTAGAAAACAGACTGCAGTTAAATCTGAAAATAGTTTAATATCAATCACTGGAGATATCATGTCTCTGATCTTCCTGAAGCGACTGTACCACTGTGCCACTTCACTGTGCATTCACACAGATGCACTAAGCTAGAAAGGCAAGAGAGAAGCTCAGTCTTCATTTTGAAAGCGTTTATCTGGTGCACTTTTTCCATAAAATTATAAATCATTATAACCAAAGCAAAGAGGCCATGGTGCATAAGAGGAACAAGTGTATTGAGCTTCAATTCTGCAACAGATTACTGCTAGTACTGACAAGAGTCACCTGCATTATATGCAGGTTTTAAATGGGTAGGATTTCAATATATAAAGGGGTCTTGTAAGAAAGATGGAGAGAAACTTTTTATCAAGGCCTGTAGCGACAGAAGGGCAACAGTTTTAAACTGAAAGAGATTGGATATAAGGAAGAAATTTTTTACGATACGGGTGCCGAGACACTGGAACAGGTTGCCCACAGAAGTTGTAGATGTCCCATCCCTGGCAGTGTTCATGGTCAGGTTGGATGGGGCTTTGAGCAACCCGATCCAGTGGAATATGTCCCTGCCCGTGTCAGGGGGTTTGGACTAGATGATCTTTAAAGGTCCTTCCAACCCTTCCAACCCAAACCATTCTGTGATTCTGTGATTCTATGAAATCAGGGTTACATTTAGGATTAAGAGCTGGGCTGGAGGAAAGTGATGAGTCGGGCTAATGCAGACAATCAGAAAAGGATGTCTGAATGAAGGACTCATTGCTGCCACTGTGGGTCATCAAGCTAGATTTCTAGTTCAGTGAGTGTATAGGTCATTAAATCAGATTTAGGATTTGGCAGTGGGGTGACTGTAAGCCTATTTCAGAAGGCCTGCTAAGGTAACTAGTTACATTTTGGTTTGGAGCAAGCAGAGGTCCTTCGAATGAATTTTGAGTCAAGGTTAGCGCAAAGTTTAGCGTTCATAAGGCTAAAAAAGTTGATCAAGGAAAAAAAACCTGAGATCCAGAGCAGGCTGTAGGGTAGTGCGTTGTGTTATAATCTATACTGTACTAGACTCTCTCTCTGCTTAGGGTAGGTGAAGGTCACTGTGCTTTTGGCTATTGTTAGGATCATGGTGTTTGAAAACAGGCTGGTAGAGGCTTTATAGAAGTTGTAACATCTAGCCTTAGAAAGGACCCATGGGTAACCTAAAAATCCTCCCTGACTTTCTCTTACTATGTAACATGACTCAGCTTGGTTGGTCCACAGCTTTCCCCATCATATAAAATTCCCATGACTTGACAGTGCTGTTCACCTATCCATTTACAACCTGGTTACACACCACCATCACGCAGCGCCCCGCAGAAGGCAGCTGCCGGTCCGGACCACCCTTCCTCCCACGCCCCACGAGGCACCGAAGCGCCAGGCACGGACGACAGGACCTTCAGCCCACACTGGGACCGCATATATCGAATGCTAAAGGCGACAAGTATTTGTGTACATTCAACAGCCTGAAGTTGTTTGATGCTCCTGAACCAATCTTCAGTGCGTATCGATTCCGTATGTTCGAAAGCCTTTGGAAGCCCTTGGGAGGAGGAGGAGGAGAGCACACTGTGGAGCCTACTGCTCCGAGCTGCTGGGGTGGCAGCCGCAGGTAGGAAAGTGCCAGCACTGCCTGGACACCAGGCACCAGCACGAGCGTGGAAGGACCAGGAGTACTCAGCTCTCGTCTCG